GGGGGGCTGGCCAGAGGCGCAGTGGGGGGAGGGAATCGGCTGGGGGGGAGCGGGACTGACCCGGCCATATGCGGATCTCGGGGCGCTGTCCCCCTCCCCACAAAGCACGAATGAGTCCGGCCCAGGGATTCTATTGTGCCCCCCCCCCACACCCGCCCCCTCGAGTAGTTGTAAACTGTCTGACTGGTAGACACACTCATGCAGTCTGAGCACATTTACCAGCCAGGCAGTTCGAAACTACAAACTGATACATCTAGTAATAAAACCTAATGAGAAAATACCAGATCAGTTTGTTTTTTATGTGTTTATATTTTTGGGCTGCAAAAAGCAGTATTGGAAAAAAAGGGTTCCAACTAAAGTAAAAAGTTTGGGAAACCCTGGTCTAACCAGCTTTCTGTCTGTCTTACAGTCCATTTATCCAATCCATATTCCTTAACTTGCTGGCAAGAATATTGTGGGTGACCATATCAAAAGCTTTGCTAAAGCTGGCAGTGGGGGCTTTTGAAGGACCAGAAACAACTTATTTAAATAGTCATTTTATTAATGAATATGCAAATGAATGTTACCGATACTCCAAAAGTTCGTGAATGGATTTACTGGTCCCCGTGTCAAAAAGTTTGGGAACCCCTGGCTTAAACGGTTATATTATTCAAATCTGAATGCAGCATAACTGCTTTATGACCTCAGACATTTCAAAGCTGCTTACTATCGGATTAGAATTTCAAATGGTTAGGTATACAGTTACCATTAGGGGGGAAAAAAGTGACTACGTAAAAAAGGGTACCACTTTATCCAACAGATTTGCTTCATTCATGCACTAACACATGACTGTTTCACTGGCAAACAGGAAAACAGAATTCTCAACATTTTTCTTCCTCTCAGGGGGAAGTCCACAGACCTCTTATAGTTGTTTTCTATTACAGAACCAGACCCATCAGGAGAAGATAGGTGTGGCTCTCTCCTGGCACACTTCATACTTTTACAGCTATTGCTCATGTATTAAATTCTCAAAGGATTAACAGTTTATTGAAACACTGGACACTTAAGATTTCCTGCAGCACAGCAGGTATTAATTGCAGCCTAAAACATGGCAACAGAACACATTCATGATGAGAGCAAAAAAAATTAGTCTCCTGGAAATGAACAATGCTTGCTGTGGGTCTGTGGAGATCCCCACTAGAAAAATGAAACCTTCAGTAAGTTAAAATTATTTTTCCTATTCCTTTCCCACAAAGGAGGTCTGCAGGTCCCATAGAGTGGTATGCCTGATATCAGCAAATAGCCAAGGACCGTGCAGTATAATTAACTGTTTAAACAGATTCCCATCAATTCACTATTGCACCATGGAATGTAAAAGCTACACACGACTTGCACATCTAGCATCTAAAACTTTTCAAGAGGAGTACCGACAACCAAGCAACTACTCCCTCTCTATTGGATGCCCATGATCTTTCTGCCCAGGAAGCAGCCATTACTCAGAAATGCACATTTGGGGGAGCAGGAAGGCATATGACCTTGTAAGCTGCTGCTATGCACCATTTTAGTCACTGGAGATGTAAGAAAGCAGCCAAGGTATCAATTCACTGATTAAACAAAAGGCAACAGTGCTATTCCAAATGGGCTAGCGCATTCAAGTTAGATCTTCAGTGCTCTCCTGACAACCAGAGTAAGCCACAGTTTTTTATAGTATGTCTTGAAGGCTGACAAAGATAAAAGGAACTGTGCCCTACAGAATACCAGATTTACTCTGGGAATTAAAACAGCATTTGTTCTTAAAATAACGTGGTTCAGCTGATAGAGCTTCTAGTTCTGTAACTCTTCTTTGCTGAAGTAGTGGCAACAGGAAAAAACATTCGTTGTGAAAATATTTGTGACAGTTTCAAGTCATTCCTTCCCCCCTGGTCTGCACTAGGAGATAAATTTGAATTAAGATACACAACTTCAGCTATGTTAATTGCATAGCTTAAGTCAAAGCATCTTAACACGAATGTTGGCACTGACCACATTTGGAGAAGTCGAAGTGAGAACTCTCTCCCTTTGACTTTTCTTACTCCTTGTAGAAGCAGGACTACTGGCCTCAATGGGAGTGCCCTCAGTTCGACATGTCATTTGGCATGTCTTCACTAGCCCCGTTAATTCAAACCCTGGAAGATCGACTGCGGCTGCTTCAATCTTATCCGTAGTGTAGACGTGGCCTTAAGGTATTTACCATCAAATTTAGGGGCCTAGGAAGCTCCTCCAAAAAGCCTTCCAATATCCAGGTGGGACATCTTGCAGTTGTCTATAAAATGCTCGAAATTACAAAACACTGAAATTTTTGTTTGAAGTTTAAGCCCAATGCAAGACCTCTCTGCAGAAATTCCAATACACAAGCTACCTTTTTTAGATCAGTTCTACACAAAATTTTCACACTATGTCTAAAATCTAGACCAAGTCTTCAACTATGCCCTTTTCTGGAAGTTAAAATGCTCATCTGAGATCCTCTGACTCTCCTTTCATTAGATGAGCAAGATACCACCTCAATTACATCTGAAAACTAGGGAGGGCCTCACTGGCCAATGAGGAGCTACTAAAATTACCTCTGCCCTTCACTTTATCCTTTGAATTGCTTTGAGGAATACTGCAAACACAGGAAAGGTCTAAAGCAATCCTTCTGGCCATGGAGAAGAAAGTA